AAGGTAATGAGTTACCTTTTCAGTGAGTTAAAGGTAAGGAGTTATCTTTTCAGTCAGAAATATGAACATACATTTATTTGAAGCATATTACGTTGAGATTGCAGAAAAAAAGAGCCTATATTTGCTACTAAAACTGAACCAACTTCAATTTAGACAATCTTGAAATGTAATAAGTTTTATTTCTTTTGACAGTTATTATCAGATACAAAAATATAAAATATTTCCGCCAACCACGTTTAGACAGCTGCTTAAACACATAAAAGAAGTAATTCAATTTTTGTGTTAAAGACTCTCAGTGTGAGGAAATACTTGAGAAAGGACGAAACGTGACGTGAAAATACAGTCAAGTTTATCTCATAAGATAACTTTTATAGTTAATCTAGTTTGGAACAATGTCCTTTAACGATTACAGTATTTTCAATGTCAAGAATAAATTCGGCCATGCAAATAAAAATAAGGAACCTATTTTCAGAAATGTCGAAGGTACAATACAAAATAATATACAGCACATTTTATATATAATTTGAGAACGTCATCATGACGTTATGCGTTTTCAGTCATTCATTGGTCGTTCAAATGTACGGGCTAAAAATATTGACTTCAACGATGTAGAATAATAGTGGCTGGATACATAAACTGTAAAATGATGTCTTATAATAACCAGCTTTCGATTCAGATTTAGTTGAAACAATTATCGTTAAACTCACCTATGCCAAATACAGAATTTTACAGTAACTCGTATCTACTAAGTTGATATCTATTGTATTAAATTGTAATGGTATTATAGATTCTAAATATTTAACAGTTTTTTTGCAATTTCTATGCACAAAAGGCAAAATTAGAAATAAGTAGCGTTTATTACTTATTATATTTCGAGCTTCACATGCATGCTAAAGTTATGTTTATAAGATACAATTAACAAATAATGATTAATATTTACAACAGCATCTACCAAAGTTATGTTAATATACATCTAACGTAGATATTAAGAAACTTTTCTTAGGTTTGACGGATGCTACAAAGTTTTAACTTTAATTAAATATGAATTTTCGTTTCAATTAGTACGTTTTTTGAATGGATCCTTTAATAACGTAGTAGTTAAAACCAGCTGCTCTTAATATTTCAGAGTAAATATTGAGTATAAAGAAAAATGTTCAGTGCGATAATGCTTTAAATCTTAGTGTTGTGGAAGATATACTTCTGACACAAATTGATTGACTATCATCAACGTTAAAATCAGGGATGCGATTCTTCTCGATGGACAAAGCAGATAGTCCGATGTGGCTTTGCTATAAAACTCACCGTTATTATGATAGTTTTATCACTTGATTTGTTTTATCAAGATAGTTTAGTGGTATGCATGCCAAATTCCAACATTTATTCATGAATAGAACAATGTGATAACACTAAAGAACAACCGAAAGAAAATTTGTTTTTCTATAATTATATATATATATATATATAATAATAATAAGAAGAAGAAAATGGCAGCTACTTGAATGGTATGTGGTGAAGGAGCTCCTAAATAACCAGATCTACTTTTGTGTTTCGCCGAGAAGTGTAACAAATATGTACACTTTAGTCTGCTGGATTTGTAAGTAATCAGTGTAAAATGAATTATGATGATGATAGCAGAATGAAAAGTTCAACTAAATGCCGAAGGGAATGCGAAAAACTTGATCAATACAAAATTGAAAGAAATAGTTTGGTGAGATGCATACAGAAGATATAAAAAATTTAATAGTGAAATCAAAGAGTGATATGAGTGAAAATAAACAACTGAATATACATCAAATAAGACTGATGAGGTTGTAAATACTTTATTAGGACTTACTAGAGAAATTGTATAGTAAAAAATTTAACTTAGAAAATAATTAAAACAAATTAAGCAAGAAGTTTGTGACGTAAGTCACTATTCAAGAAATTAAAATTTGAAAATAATTGGAGTACCAAAAAAATAAACCAAGAGAAAATGCACATATGAATTGTGCAAAAAATATTAATAAAATTCATATAAGAATCAGTGAAGGCGATAGATATAGAAGCTGTACTAGAGTTACAATTGTTAAGAGAGAGAGAGAATGAAACCTATAACAGTAAAATTTAAGACAAGAGTAGTAAGAGATAACTGGTTGATAACAAATATCAATAAAACCTATGATATAGGAAATACAAACATAGATAGAAAAATTTAAATAAACCTATAATAATCACATTAAAATAGTTATTATATAAAGCAAAACAAATGTCAAGACGATACAAATGTCAGATTTGTGTGGGTAAAAGAAGGGAAAATATTTATTATGAAAGTCAGAAATGACTAAACTATGGAAAAAAGCAATGTAGAGGATTTAAATGAAGTAAAAGAAAGAAATGAAAATAAATTTGAATATCATTATTAAACAGAAATAAAAAATGCTTCAACTTGCTTAGTGAACTAGAAACGAAACTTTTTTCAGTAGATATAATACAATGTAATTTTTACACATACATATAAGAAGCATTAAGAATAAATTTGAGCTGATTGATTTAATAACGTGTAAGTTTGAAAATAAAGTAGGTGTGTTACTTCTGTCTGAGATATGGATAAGTAATAAGAAGTAAATTGCTATCTATTAATTAGATGAATATAAAATGTTTTATAACTGTAGACAGCATAACATATATTGGGGACTAATGGTTTATGCTAAGATCAACATAAGAATTGAAAATAGCGAAATGATAACAGGTAAATGAGTGTACGTTTTAGAAGAAAGTGATTTACTTATTATAGCTATTTACATATCACAAAACTTTAGAATATATGAGTTCTTAAAGAGCTTAGAAATCGTATTAAGATGTAATTAAAATAAAAGTTTAATCTCTCATGGTGATATAAACATTCATTTATTAAAAGAAGCAAATTATGTAAATGTTTATATCGACTTAATTACCATGTTTGGTTTTGAATCATATATATAAATGGAACAACTAGAGAGGTAAACTAATCCATTTCATTTTTAATTCGTATTTGAAAGACAAATATGTGCTATATATATAGCATTGATAAAATACCAATAAAATATTATTACCCTACATCAATATAACTAAACATGATGAAAAAATACCAAATATAGATTAAGAAATAGTTTACGAAACATTTTACAATCAAATTTTAAAACAAAATGTGATCAGATAAATTGGGAAAATATATACTTATACTTATGTTGATAATACATATGAAATTTTTATTAGAAACATTAATTAAAGAAACAGAGGATTCAAGTCATTATATAAAACATAGTCAAATAAATAGATTTAAAAAACTATCGCTCACTAATCAAATAAAATAACTAAAAACTAGAGTTACGATGTATAATAAGTATCAAAAATACATCTTTAATAAATATTATAAAATAGTTTTAAATATAAAAAAAACAAAATTAATCAAAAATTAAGAATAGGAAAACTAGTGATATAAATATTAATGTAAAAAAATGTGAAATAGATATTAAAAAAAATATATTTTCTTAATTGACTAATTGATAAAGAAAACAAGGAAATAATATTACCTGATTATGCAAATGGTCAGAGAGGAAATGTTAATGAAGTAATTAAAAAATTTAGAAAATAGGTTTAATAACATTTTAATAAATATAGCAGAAAAAATTATAAAACAAATTGATACTGAACAATGGAAAATATTGAACATAAATAGAAACAATAATTCTGTGTTTTTATTTCCTACTTGTAATTAAAAAGTGAAAACTATAATTCTGAATCAAAAAATCAGAAAATCCCAGGGCATAATTTAATTTAATAGTGTATAAATCATATCATAGAACCATTGGTATATATCAATAATTTATCTACTAGAACAGGAACTAATAATAATTATGTAAATTAATTAGGTATTTCATTGTTATCAGTATTTTCTAGAATATTATAATAAATATTGAAAAACGGATTGGCTAAATATTTTTCGATTTAGAGAATGATTAAATACTGAAAAGGCACAAATAAACTTCAATCAAATTATCTATGAGTCCTTAGCTAATTATAAAAACACATAAAATATTATCATATTAACACCAAACTTATTTAATAATTTACCTTTAATAATAAAAAATTAAAATGATATAAGTAAATTTAAGGTATTAGTAAGAGAATTTTCGATTAACTATAAAAAATATATGTTTTTTTAAATGAAATAATATAAATTATTGCAAAATCTTAAATAATTAATGTTATTAACCAGGATGAGCTAAAACTCTTTTTTTTTAATTATAATTTATATTGTAGTAGTATTGCATTGTATTTATATTTGTAAATAAATATATATACCTCATATATATATATATATTAAAATTAAAATAACTGAATAATTCGAAAACCTAAAATATAAACAAGTACTTTTGTTTCTTTCTTTGTTGTTAACCATAAAGCTATAAAATGAGCTATCTTTTCTGTGCCCACCACTGGTATCAAATCCCAGTTTTTAGCAGTATAAGCTTTCACACTTACCGCTGAGCCACTGGAGCTGGGAGCAAAAACAAGTTGACCACAATTAAATGATTTTTATTTTAATTACCAACCAAATGATTAGTTTTTTCGCAGTATAGCTCCAATGCTGGCCACAGATGTGCATTTGTGTATTTTGGGGTTGTTGTTGTTTTCTACACGCAGTTGTTCATCAACGCTCTTATTTCTCTTATGTCGACAAAGCGGTGACATAATGCTTTGATACTAAAGGAACGAATTCAGTGTGTTCCTGAAAGATATATGTGTGTGTATGTGTGTTTGTATGTGTGTGTCCATGTCTGTTCATATTAGACTTTTATTATGAATAAATGACATGGAGTATGTTTTCCGCAAAATATCCTTTATTTGATAAAATGTTAAGCACGAACATTTATTTTATTTCTAATTTAGGTGAGCATCTGGACGAGGAATTAAGTCTAAAGAAGAAAAATATTAAATTATAAAACTTCGCTAATTCGCGAAATATTGTGAACTCTTACCTTAAGCTGCTGGACGTATTACAACTGTAGTGACAGAACTTGAACGACCAGGTTTTAAAGAGTTGTTCGACAGACAGTAGCAGCAGCAGCCATGGTGAGAATGCTCTAGTTTCTAGAGAGACCAGAGATCGATATAAGCAGATAAAATCAGGAGCTCATCTGTGCAGGCGCCAAGGTTCTCTTAGATAGACCTCGCTCTCTCTTTCTCTCTCTCTCTATCCTTCATTCTCGTTCTTTTTTATTTCCTGCTAAGGAGTTGCTTGTCGTCTTACTATGCACTTCGTTTGTTGCAAATCCGTTGCTGAAGCGGACATCCTTATATATATGTGTGTCGTTCTTCGGTAACGACAACAATGCATTGTGAAGTGCTATTCAGAACCCTACCGACGAGAAAAAAAAATGATATAGAATAAAAGACACTCAAAAAACTAAAGGCAATACTCTAGAATTTGAAATATTGCTTCTGTTTAATTTTGTTCACATTCTTCGTGAAGAAAAAAACGTTGAATACTATCTCATATAACTGCCTGTTTACGTATATATTATAATTTAATTCTGTTTGTACGTGTACATACATTTAGTACAATATATAGCGGTGTATAAGATACACATTCTCAAACAAAGATTGTTTGTTTGTTTGAAGTTAAGCACAAAGCTACACAATGGGCTATCTGTGCTCTGCCCACCACGGCTGTCTAAACCCGGTTTCTAGCGTTGTAAGTCTGCAGACATCCTGCTGTGCCACTGGGGGAGCTCTCAAACAAATAACACATTCAAAATATCATGTAGGTTAAGGCTAAAGCTATACGACAGGTTCGCTAGTATTTTTTTATATTTATAAATATAGTGTGTGTGAGTGGTTGATTAAAATTGCATTCCTTATTAAAGTTTTACTAAACTTATTGGATTGAAAATATAAAATAATTTTGAATTCGAGCAACTATTTTTGTTTGTGTTTCTTCTTTAAAATCACAAAACTGTGCTAAATCCTAAGTGACAAGAAGACAAAAAACTTCTGCCAGTAAAAATACTATTGTCTGTTTTAAAGTACTTAACAAAATTATATACACTTATAAAATCAGTGTTTTGAAACTTGTCGAAATAAAAATTATAAAAACAGCATTGCAGTATATATTGATTTAAGTATACAGATATTACTGTTAGATTTTCATACGTTCTAAAGGAACTTTACATTTTTCATACTACTTAATTCTATTGGCATTACATGAACATGATTTAATCATAAGAGGCAAGAAAACCATCAGCAAGCTTAACTAGAGTTTTACGGTGGGAAGATCACGATTTTAATTTTCAAAGTACATCATCTTGTGGTATAATTTTTGATTTGTTCTACAAGTGACGTAAAACACATTATTTACATTTGCGTGTTTCTTCATGTTAATTTAATTAGTTTCCAATACTTGTAGTTAAATGTTTGCTGTCTTGTCGATATAGATTAGGAGATGAAACGTGTTTGTAATTTATGTGAATATACAGAGATGTCTCTTTATCATACATCTATAAACGTGGTTGATTTTTAATATGGTCTTGCACTTTGAGTTTCATTACCAAAAGTGAATGAGTCGGTCCTTGGTGAACACTCAACCTTCGAACAAAATTTGAATAAAATCTTATAAAAAATACTTGTATTATATTTCTCTGAAACACACACATACACACAAAGGAGTGAAAACAATACCCTTGCTCGATAGCGAGGGTAAGAAGAGAAAACATGCAACATGATCTGTTAAAAAAAGAACTTATTGTTATCCTAAAAGGGAATAAAATTTATGAATCAGTTTATAAACAAAATACGATATTACAGTCACTATAATATAAATATTTATATTGAAAATTACAAATCGTTTCTCTTATTGTATTAAGTTTTTCATTATTATTGAGTTCGTATAATCTCACCAGCTGCAGAGAGACTTAATTATTATGTTTTAATTAGTTATGACAGCTTTGTTCTAACCAAATGTCGTTGTAAAACGCCCTCTGGTGGCTCAGCTATAAGCTTGACCATTTATTACGCAAAACTTTTGGGTTTAGTCTTCGTAATAGGCAAGCATAAATAGCTCATTGTGCAACTTTGTGCTTAACAATAAACAAACCGCTGTTAAAACTTCACCAATAGATAAAAACCAAAACTACTTTTGCTCTAAATAATATGTAATGATTTATGCAGAACGACCAAGCTATTCTTGAACATTCCTTTGTTCTGATCTTCAGTTTTATGCAGTTAAAATATGGTGATCATTATGAACCAAACGATGTTATTAATGTCCACCTACTTTATGGTAATCGGTTGAAACTATTATATTCGAAATAGCGAATCTATAAACACCAAATATAAAATGGTTAATTTCTATTACAAATTCTGGTTAAAGCTGGTAATCCTTTACATGAAAAAACAAACCTCCAATGATTAGTAAGTACTATCCCCCTGCTACATGCTTTCTCGCTCTGTTTAGTGTTCTGTGGATAAAACTTGAGACTTTTTTAGACAATTATATGATCAGGTTCATTTGAACCATGGTTATCTAAGTGTGTTCTTAAGCTTAAGGCTACACAATGGGCTCTTTGTGGTAAGCCCACCGTTGGAATCGAAACCCAATTTTCAGTGTCATAAATCCAGAGATTTACTGCTGAGCCATTAGGGAGAGAGAATAATCTATATAAAACACAACTATCTATAATATTAGACTTGTCTTGATATCTTCCAATAAACCGAACTAATGTTATTTTTACACACGCTAAAACGTTGTACTAACTGTTGTTTATTAAACATAATTTGACTCAATACTTGACACATTCCAGAAATTACTCACCGTTGGCTAAAATCATAGAATCAATGAAATAAGTTAATAAATCTAAGGTTATCTTGTCGAGAAGGGTAATATATGTGGATGTTCCTGTTCTTTCCACAACAAAAGCTTTTGAAAATCCTATTATTGCTTATTTGGTATGGCAGAATATAAATTATTATAAACTTTAAGTCCGACATCAGCTGCTTACGTTTTGATATCTTTGAAAGTGTTGCCTAAAAGAAGTGTTTATTTTGTGACTATATTAAATTTCATTTATTCTTATAAATTAAGCCTTATGATTTTCATAAATAATGTAAGTAGTCTTTCGTTATCTAATAAATGATAATGTAACTAGTCAAGTGTTATATGAATAATGCAAGCAGTGTTATAGTGTTATATAAACACTATAACACTATAAACTAGCGAGTCTTGGAGCATTTGTACACAAGGTTTTTGTGACAAGACAGTATATCCATATATGTAAAATTATAGTCACGTGCAGAATTAAAATACAACGACATGAGCAATTGAGATTTGCTCATATATTCCAAATACCTTTTTATATTCTGTCAAGTTGAAAGTTAATGTATTCCAAAGTTTGTTTTAATTCCTTACACAGTCTTTGAAAAGCTACGCAATTCATAAAAGTAAATGATTTAAAGTGAAGCGCCCGTTACTGTGAATCAGGAAAAAAACGGTAATATATTTACTATCCAATAATATTTTGTTTTCCATAGTCGTATAACTATGTATAGTTGTAAATGCGCTCACATAAACACACTTATAAACCTTTAAGTACACGAAGACGAGTGAAATAGTTAGTTACCTATTGAAAACTTAATTGAATTCCTTTTAAAACCGTTTTAAAAACTCCATTTCGTTCATGTTGCAACCAAACATGCTAAACCCCTTTATTCAATGTCACGATGCTGTGAATATTTCATAAATATAAACATACATTTTAGAATATTCTTTGTATTCTGCATTAGCGTTTTTCATAGTAGGCATAGTTTGTTTTCATCGCCTACATAAATTAATTTTCCTTGAGGACGGTGCCTTTATTTTTCACAAAACTACTATTTGAGGCTCAAGTGTGACGTACCCGGTGATATACTTGAACGATAAAAGCCATTACGATACGAAGTAATTCGATTTTCGTGACTAAAGCTACTAAGGACACAGAGGGAAAAGTAATAATTTTGAAAAACACACCTCTACTCATAAAAGAATGTAAAAAAAAAACGTTACCATGGTAACTGTAAGTTCAAATAATATGAAATAACTATGGAAGTGGCGGCTAAAGACGAATAAACTAGATTACAGTTATTATTTCAAGAAACGTAGCAAGATTTCAATAACGAAGTATTACTTATTTCCTGACTATTTGCTTTCACTTTAAGCTCTAGCAAGGACTAAGTCGTTTAATGTATAAAATTTAACAGAATAAATTTTATTACTAATCTTATTTACTGTTTTCGACTTAACAGGTTCCTTTCGAAATTTTACAGCAGCAAAAGTAAACAATAAAAATGTTCAAATAAGTATGTAATTGATAACATGAATTCATCAATGACTGATCTACATCAATTTTTCATGCAGTACTTTGTCCTCCATTTTAATTTCGCAGTTTCTATTTCACTTTTGGGTAGACTGTAAATATAAAATATTTTTCTCATTTTTTACTTTATAAAGAGAAACATACAAAATATTTATAGCTCATCTGTACGTTGATCTACATAACATGTTTACTGAGCCCCATCTCGATTCTGTGTAAGTTTGTTCCATCATCTTGTTGAGCAAGTCAGATCATACATTTTGTTGTTCTTCTTTTAATATATTCCTAAATATACATTTTTACATAGATTTTTATTTATACTTCTCCTATTATTATTTCTATTTGCGTTCTTTGGAAATGTGTTTGCCTATAAAAGAATGGCATTGCAAATATTTGAATAATTTGTGAGTTGCTTCTTATTTTAACTGCGTAGTTAACAGATAGAGCTTTTCAAAAATTTTATCATATTATCATATCGATAGTCCTTCCCAAATTTGCAACTTCAACAAAGATTCTCGTCCAAAATATTTGCTTTTTAACATTTTGTTGATAATTGAATTACACGTGAGCATTGAATAATGTTTCGAAGTTTCAGGTCTTATGTTCTAGTACAAGTATTATTATTATTAGATAGAGAAGAGCACACAGTTCATGAATTAGTGTTTCATGAACAAAGATGACTTACCTTTTACCGATAGAAACGAAGCGTAAGTCAATTATATTTGTAGAAAGATT